TCCAAATCAAATATGGATTGAGTACTCACCATTTACGTGACTGAAATGAGCTGTCATATTATACTACATATTAGTCTTGTTAGGATGTTTCTTTGCTTAATCTCTAAGTACTTTCAGAATTTGCTAACTATTATTTGAAAGAACAAACGTTTTATCTAAATATCCAAGCTGTTTGTACAGATCTTCTTCTATACCTTGAGGGAGTAGAATAAAATTACGTTTATTATCCTCAATAGTTAATCACAATCTATTTTTCATAATCTAGCTGTTTACTCAGTCGTATGAAATTCACCTTAAAATTATTTTCCCTTGTACTGTTCGGATGCGGTAGGTAATATACACAAAAATTCAAATCTAATAAATAAGACAACGCGATAAGGAAAATCTCATTAATTTTTTAAAAATATTATAAATAGCACAAATCTCTAATGATTAAGCATTAAAGTAGCTATCTGAAACGAAAATAAACAAGTTGTCTTACAGTTTGCTTGTTTTTAAATTGGGAAAACAAAACTGATTTAACACAAATGTGATTTCCAGGCATCTGCTGGATAGTGTACACAAAGTGGATATGAGTAATGCAGTTGAAATTAACAGACAATCAACACTGATTTTGCTCCGTTTTACGTAAGCGATTGCTATCAGACTTCTCCGACCTGACGTATGTATGCAGAATTAAAGTGTGATTAGCCTTTCTTTATCATGGTAACTAAGTGTCAATCGAATAACCTTTTTAATTTTTCGTCATTTAATTTATATCGCATATAATTTTATCGATGTTCACATACTAATTTGATTTTGTTTCTAATCGTGTTGAATTATTATGCAATTATCTACTAGTTTGATTACTCTCACATAACTGTTTTGTCATCATTCGTTATTCTCCTTTGCATTACTACTCTCCAACATATAACAACGAATCAATATTACCTATGTTTATTGATACATCCTGTCCCCTATTCTTCTTACTAGTATGACTTTTTTTAGTCCCGTCTCAAACATTCATCTAAACTTCACTAGCTATAGTATGTTAAACATTTGTTTATATTTATATTGCTAATTGCAATCTTAGGCTGTTTGCAGCTGATGAGTAACCGAGAAATAGAATAAAACTTCTTTTATTCTGCTAGATTTGTTGTTCTTATTCTGTTTACATTCATAAAGTGATCTGGTTGCATGAAAAATATGAACAGAATATTCCGCAAACTTAAATGATTTCACAGTAATTAATTCTATACAATTTATACAGCATTTAAATATCTTGAGCGGTAATTCCTTAAATCTGTTAATTTCTAACGTTCTGAAGATTTATTCTGACAACAGTGTATCATCAATTATTTGGTCATAATGTCAAAAATGGCAAATAATCAAATGATGGATCTGACCACATATATACTTGTGAAGAACATTTTTATATGAAAATTGAAAGGTCAACTAGATAGGTTAAAGATAAGCCGTAACAAAGAAGAAAAATATGATAAAATACACATCTTATCAGTTTTCAATTACATGAATCCTTTCTTACCTCTAAAATTATCACACACACACACCAAATAATTTTACTGAAATCTAGAAAAGTGATAATTTTCATTTTGGTAATACAGATGTGATTATCAGGCATTGTTCACATAAACCTATAGTATGAAAATAGAAGTGTGGCCATAATTATGGTCCACTTATGTTACCACTTAGTAAATAGCCCTATTATTTATCAAGTTTTTATTAAAGTGACCAATTCTCTCATTTAATCTCATAGATTCACATGTTTTCATAGAAATCACAATGTAGTACACGGCCAAATACTGCAGAAGTTCACGCTGAACTACCACAGTGCTCCGTATATTTCTCATTCTTCTTTCTCCATTGAAGAAACGAGATATATTAACTAACAGTTTCGCTGTTGAAAAACTTATTTTAGATTCAGTTTTTCTCTAATTTTCACAATTTGTGGCATTACATTTTTCGCATGACGAATTTTTCACCGTAATCAAACATATGGTATTGAATAGAACAGATACTACTAATACTATTATTAAAAAGAGAAAAATAGCTATTGGATTCTATCTTTCCCGATAAATAACTGTCCAAAAAGTATTCAGCAGTGTACACAGTTTCCCGATTGACGCCTAGAAGGTATAATTTGTAATAAATCAAATTTGCGAACTAGCGATTTCATGTAAATTACCTTCTCTGTATTTTCGTGTTCTAAATTCTAGTGATACCAACTTGAATTTTCAAACCGATTTAAAAACAATTTGTAAAAATTACTACCAAACTTTTCTTAATGTGTCCAGTCATAAAATACTTTGGTTAATGATAGTTTATTTAATTTGGGAGTTGTTTCACATCTCCATTGAATGAATAGCAAATGATTTACACAAATTGTGTAAAACCGTATTTTGATCTTCAGCTGTGAATGAACGGTCTACCCATATATGAGGATGAGGATGATTGTGAAGAAGTAATAATGACTTTCATTCATTATTCTTGTTTACTATCTTTTGTACCAGTCGATTACGTAAACATGTTAACGAACGCTATATGCAAAAACTAGGTACTATTCATTATTAAACCAAAAGCTAGAAGAATAACATCTAGAGATATCTGGCATGAAATGAATCGAAGTAATAATAATCAAGTTTATTTTCCTTTAATGAATTCATTATAATCGCCTATCATTCTTATAGTTGTATAGAGCAGCTAGCGATAAATAATTAAATATAAAAACCTTGAAATTTATAATTATATAACCCATATATAAAGGATTGTATAACTTTGTATTGATAGTTCTCCCTAGAAAGACAATAAAATTACATGACCAAAAGTAAAATGTTAGTAAGGATAAGGACATGTATAATAAGATATTTGGTGAAATAATTCGTCTCATGTGTATATGGAAATGATTAAACTCTGTCTTAAAATAGGCTCTTATTTGATCATTGATAGATATTTATTTATAAACACTATGCAGTGAAATTAATTGTTTGCAATAATAATAATAACTTTCAATGAGACTTTGACCTTACAAAAAATATTTACTCCAATCATGTATTGGCTTTATTCAGCCTGTAGCTCTTCTGGGGTTACTGCAAGTCCTAAGCCTGGGTAAAGAAAGAGGATTTGGTATAACGTTAACAACTCCATCCCGTAGAAAACAACCATGCTTAAAAAGCGCTAGCCAGAATAAACAATTTAAACTGTGACCTCTGAATTGAAGGATATTCATTCAAAAGAATTATGAAGCCTCATGGTGAAAGCCGAGTTTCTTTGAAAGTCATTAGACCTATGTCTATACAACAACAATTAATATAGGTATATGGAATATCTAGATAATGTGGGAGACCGGGAGAATCAACATTGACTTGAGTTCTCTATTCCCCTTTTTAGTGAGTCTAAAGCAGATAAGGTAGCTTACCAATGTTCTTTTTTTCAACTATAAACAGTTCTCCAGCTAGTGTCATTTCTATGCATTAAACAAAATTAATGAATATGTACATCTTTCTTTCATTCCAATGATTCTCTGTTCGGTAAAAATCAAAGACAGAAAAAGATTTTCCCACTAAACATCATAACTTTTACTTACTTTCGAAAAATATTATTTTGCTTATTTATTTAATTTAAATATTTTTTTGTTTTATTATCAAATATGAATTCTGGTTTATAAAATATTTTTTCTACAGGTTACCTTACCCATTTAATTTCGAGAAAAAGAAAACAAAAAATACAGAACAAGTAATTAGCACACAAGTTTCAGTTTTTAGAAAACTATATGTTCATTTTGTTAGTTTTAAGGCTATGAAATATTCACAAATGTAACAAGTCTCTTACTAGATAATGTTGAATGGATGGCCGTTTAGTCCTAGTATGGGACTCCTCAGCAGTGCTCATCCACGATCCCCCACCCCGCTAGATTCGAACTCAAGACCTATCAGTCTCGCGCTTCCAGGTTTTCCATGATGGTCTACCTTCAATTTACATATGATTTCAACTATTGAAATTTCTAGAAATCTCCACAAAACCCCTTCTGATATTGATAAAGATATCAAACTAGTGATTGGTATTATGAGTATAAATCATCTCATAAAGCATTTGTAATACTAAATTTGTAAATACAGAAAAAATATTTAAATATTCACCAAGTAAATATTAATGTAAACTTAAAAATAATAATGAACTCTAACATGTTGAGTTATTTATGATGGTAAATGAAACTAGGTAGGGGTTAGACATTAAAAGTTTAACCATAGTTATATTAATGTTAGTAGCTAGATTTTGGAGGGTTAGTTGTATTAGGGTTAGGTATTACGATTAGGAGTACCAGGGTTAGAAGTGTGAAGGTTAAGTGTGTAATTGTTGAAAGTGTAAAGATCGGATTGCTTTTTTACTCACAGAATTATCTTTGACGCTTATTGAATCATATCAAGTACTCTCAGATACATTCTGTTATAACTTGTGACCGCCGATTAGGGGGCAGTGACTAATAGACAGGGCATAATTCAAGAATGGTAAAACATATAATAATGGTCCAGAGGTAAAAATAAAGCTTATAATAAGAGGAACATGAATATGAATAGTTTAGTTATTTAACAATTATACGATAAAAATATACGTTTAGTATTGGTTTATAAAAGGATCCCAAAGTTACCATTCATTATGTTTCTCAGGACCTAACACAATCTGCATCAAGTGTAGGCATTTCTTGTAACTTCGTCAACTTATCACATATTCTTGATGTGGTTAACGAAAAGATATTTCTACCAATCTTAAGTATTTTAAGGATTAGATATAGACAATTTTTAAGTATTTTTTAAAATACAATACATGAAATCCTTCACTGCTCTTTGAGTTTCGCGACAAATTCTTAAAGTAACTATAGTAAACCTGTTCGATTCATTAAAGATCGTTAGTATAGTGTTTTTATAATTGTTTTATGTTGCGTATTAGTTAATATTTGATATTAGTTTGTTGGACATTGTTACAGTTGAATAAAGTAAATAATCATGAGTGATTTTGTACTTTTAAATTTCATCTCTGATCATCGGTTTGCTAAATGTCAACTAACTCATAATAATAATAATAATAATAATAATAATAATAATAATAATAATAATAATAATAATAATAATAATAATAATAGCTTAGTCTCATATCTTTTAATATCTGAAAAAAATGTCATAGACATATATTTCATAGTTTATGCACGTTTAGCACCTAAAAGTCAATTGTATTGTGTAGAATGAACTTTTTCTTGACATTTGAAGCAAGCTGGACGTGGTCTATATATTAAGCAGTCTTACAACATAGCGGCTTGATTATGCTTTGGATGGTAGTTAGCAGTCAAATCTAGAACTCACAGTTCATTTGTTTAGGACTTATAAGCTGTACGTAACTGTATTCTGTTGTTCATGTTTCAGCTGGAATCAAAATCAGTCATCATCGCTTCAAACTCAAGAATATTATAGACTGATATACGAAGTCACAATAAACACTAACACGTTCAATCATTATGTTTATTACCAAATGTGTGAGCTTGTACTTTTCGTTAAGTGATATTCATAATTGATTTTGATTGACCTAGATCATAACAATGTGAACTGTTAAAAGACTAGTATTTGAACGAAGAATATTCTTTTCGATAAATTCTCTTCAGGTTCTACAATTATATATCCAAATTAATGATCCGAAAAATGGCCAAGTTAAGGGTAAAATACATCGTTTAGAGCATGTGAATTTAGGATTGTGATAAACAAAATACAATAAAATTGTTAATGTTAATATGACTCATATAGAATGTTAACTTGAATCTGCGTATATGTTAAGTGAAATTTTAAGATCCATGATCAGAATAAATATGGGTCAAATAGGGTGAGACAGAAATAATAGTGCAATTACAATTCGATCAAATAAATAAGAGGTAATACGGAGGGATGAATGCGAAGTGAATGAATCATGTATGGGGGAGATTAATGATGTTTAACCAATAATAATAATAATAATAATAATAATAATAATAATAATAATAATAATAATAATAATAATAATAATAATAATAATAATAATAATAATAATAATAATAATAATAATAATAATAATAATAATAATAGTAATAATAATAATAATAATAATAATAATAATAATAATAATAATAAAGCAAAGATTTATGAATACAGATAACAGAGACAATGCAATTGACTGAGAAAGGCCATAATCAAATTAGGTCACCCTATTTGAACTATATTTACTCTGATCATGGATCTTAAAATTTCACTTAACATATACACACATTCAAGTTAACATTCTGTATGAGTCATATCAACATTAACAATTCTATTGTATCTTGTTTATCACAATCCTAAATTCACATGCTTTAAACGATGTACTTTGCCCTTAACCTGGCCATTTTTCGGATTATTAGTTTGGATATATAATTGTAGAACCTGAAGAGAATTTACCGAAGAGAATATTCTGCGTTCAAATACTAGTCTTTTAATATGACGGGGATCTTTAAACGATTAAAATGTGAACTATATGTTGATCGATTTGTGTACATTCAAACTTGTAAACACAAATGGAAATTCTCCATCAAAAAGTAATCTATTCAAGAATATTAGTTGTTAGACGGTTAACGGTAGTCGATTGCGCACCCTCATCCTATATTTCCAGCTATCTGACACTCGTCAGTAAGCTGTATCTGTAATCTTGAGGGAACTTGAGCTCTCTGAATGATTCTATGATGTTCTACTCTGTTTCGCAGCACCAATCACTTGATATCTCAACATAGCTCATGAAATGTCAAGTCACTTAGACTGATGGTCATATTGCAATTTAATGAATAAAGTTCGATCAGCTCTAAAAGGACTAGACAAACAATACACTGGTCACTTCACAATTATTGAACGGTATCGTGCTTTTCCCAGAAATTTGAAATCCTGAGACTCGATTGAATAACAAATCTTTGTTGTTCAATTTAAAGAACTTGAGTAGTAGAACGAAACAATTTACCCTGATATTCAATGGTTCTCTGAATATTAGCATTCCAAGTTGAAACTGATTCCATAGACAGGAATCGATCACCTCAACTTCTATAACTTGGAATCTTAGGATAAAACACTACAATGAAGTTACGTATTATATAACATTAGACCGTATGTGACTCATTTCATAATGTCGATAACACTTGTTTTATCTCATGAATATAAAAACCAATAATCTGATATACATGGTTGCGAGAAAAATGAAGACAACATAAAACAATATGTTCAAGCATTTTCTTTGTAGTTAAGTTTTCGTTTGTACCGATCTTTGAGATGTTGTACTGTACCAATACACGAACATTTCTATTCTTAAGAACTCAATGAATTGTTAGCAAATATTAAGGCCTATAGTATAATATAATATCAATTGATATGCGTCAGCTGTTTTTGTACACACATGTCTCTTGGGTGTGTTGAGTGAAATAAAAAAATTTGCCATACACTACTGGTGTATACATGTACGTATACACAATCAAATAATGCAAACTATTAAAAATTTACGATTGATTGGGAGACTGACTTGTAAGCCTGTAACATACGTGTATATGTGTGTAGGCAGTGTGTCTAAAGTTCCACTATATATGTATATGTGATAGGGTCGAGATACTAACTCTATTGGTCAATGCCATAAATTATGACCTTTTGACGATAATACCCTACGTAACTCTAATAGCATTATCTCATCTAATCTCAAAATTGTTTCAGTACAGTTTTGTATTGACTGAAATCAAGATTACAACACATATCAGTTAATCAATATGCGCTTATTCATCGACAATTATGAAGTCCGAAAATGATCCTAAAGCAAGCTATTTTATATGTACTGAAATTTCTGCTTTCTAATAGTTGATGCATCCAAGTAAATTGTTCGATGACTCCATATATCCTTCAGGTGTATCAGTAATAATTATAAAAATAAGTCAGTGTATCCACAAGTAAATAGATTAGAAATCAATTATTAAAAAAAAACTATTTAGAATGAGAGGGTACTGATGACTGAGTTTATGCTCAGTTTGCAATCGAGATTTTATTAACCAATTTGTACCGGAATTTATATCTCACGCACACACAAATATATTGAATACACTACTATTCAAATGAATTTTCCTGTTGATCATTTCTTTATCTTAATAAATGCATTTGTACATTTAATTGCAAACATACAGTTGGTTTGGCTGAATCCACATGTAACTGAGGAAACAATAATAAATATACCGAAAGTATATTTCATTCATCCTGGTCCATCTGTTTCAGGCAGTCAATTAATCAAGAATCAATTTCAATCATATAATGGTTCAAATTTTCAGAAACCACATAATTACAAAGTCAAAAAGCACAAAATGAATATTAATACTACTAGTAATAATCATAATAGTAGATTTTCTAATGTAACTCAAACAAATCCAAAATGGACGCACAAAAAGATTTTTAAAGATCATAACATGTCAAAGAACACATTATTCGTTGAAAGATTACATGAAAAAACAAACTATTTTATACCAAAGTCACTAAAATTTGAGCCAGAGAAAGATTTGGCCATATTATATCCAGAAAGCAATTGGCTTGACCCATGCAAAGCCAGTAAGTTTATTAATCCTTTTTCCTTTTAAATAATCAATTATCGTTTATCGACTTATGGTTATTATTGAATTAAGGAAAAGCAATGAAAAGAAATAAAAGCTTCACTTAACTTCGATGACATGTTTTTTCCTTTTCTGTACTGTAGGTTCATACTAAATATTTGTTTATTTCATTGTGGTTGGCGTTTTTTTTGTGCAAGATTTCTTTTCCACGGTATGGATTTGCCGACCCCTTACTCAACCCTCCTCCTTTACCCGGGCTTGAGAACGGCAGTAACTCTAGAAGAGCTATAGGCGGAATTTTATTAAAGAAATCATGTTGTTCACGATTATAATTCAGTTGAATGCTTACAACAAATGCTGTTCATCAGTGATTTGACTGTTGATCTCTAGAACCTGTCATCTTCCTGTACTATTTAAAGTTAATGTATTTATCTAGGAAAATCGTAGTAGGAACACGGTTTATTTGTTGAACTGGTCAATGAATTTATCATTATGTCATCATAAGTGGCCTAATATACCTAAATGGTATTCTCATTTCAAATTCCATGACTTTCATCAATTTGTTTTTTGAAGTCTATTTAAAATGATTTATGTCGTAATAATCAATTCGTGCAGATATGGCAGTAAAGCAGTGAGATGGTCGTTTGAATTGTACTTATACGAATTCGCTAGCATGATTTTAAATTTCGCTTCAATACCATAACTAATGCGTAACAACAGTCCTTCTAGATCCTAATAATTGTAAATCAGCTTCTTAACTAAGTATGTTTTTTATCAACTAATTTAAATACAGTAAAAAGCATATTCAAATTATTAATCACGTTTAGATTATGAGTTTTTAATGTTGATTGGCCAGTGTAATGATTTTGAGACCGTCTTGACCAGTCGTTTTGTCGATAACCTAAATAGTTCCGGATTCTTCGCTTGATTTTAAGTTATATCGTCTAGAAAATTACTTATCTTTATACTACAAGTAACAATAAATTGAAATTATTTAACTTTATGAAACTGACTTCAGGACAGGGAGACAAAATGTACAAAAGTAACATTTATGTATCATTTTCTTAAAATATCATTTACTGAAAATATGGTTTTAGGAAAATTAAAAGTTTGCATTATGTGGTACTGTGAATGTTGTATAGAAGCCGGCGGTAATTTTCACTACGATCTGAAATATAGCAATGGGCAACTGGAAAACACGTACGATAAGCTAATCGATTCATCCCTGTTTAGGATTCTGTTGAAATGGCCATTTACGATAAGATTTAGCAGAGAAAGCAGGTCTTCCGCGTCTTTTGAAGATTATGATATTTTCAAGCGATTAGGTTGACATTAATTTGTCTTTTTTTTTAAAGTGTAATCGAGTCCGGGTATCGGTCGATGTTTTATCAAATTTTACCTGTGAAGTGCTGTCTTGACCCAGTTTACTTGACAAACTATGACTTCAGATTAAAACTTTGTAGAATTTACTTTAAAGTTAATCACTTTTGAGCATTACATTTTCATTGATTTAGATGTTGTGACTTGAGGATTTCAATTACTTTAGGACCAATTTTAATTAGAAACTAGCAAAATTATCATGAAAATGTTATATTATGTTTTAATAACTGTTACTTCTTCACATTTTCCTCTATCTTGACCTAACATTAGCTACATAAAGTTGAGTGATTTTATTTTACACCGACTAGTACCACGTGCCTGGCAAATATTCATCAACTGACCTGGTAATCGATTAAGACTTTTCCTGCACATTGCTTTTTAGAATGTGATTTATTATGCCAGAGGAAAGTCATTCTTTTCATAGGGTATCTTGAAGTGACGTTGAATTATCATTGGACATAACTTATTTTACATGAATTATCATTAGTATATTTACTCTGCTGAAATGACATACTTTTAGTTAAGCAATTTCAAAACACCAAAATCCACCCTAAAACGGTTACGTCCCAACAGCACGATTACGTTTTGAACTGGGCAACTAAAATCCAACTGTATCAGTTACATATTCCTGCACTTATATCATTTTACTAAATATATTAAAAGACTGAGATATTGTAAAATAAAATAAAGAAAAAATATAATTTGACTAATTCCACTAATAAGTTAAGCATCAGCCCAATATTAGACGGGCGGTGACAATCGTCTAATGTTGATTGCTAATAATCCTCAAGTAAAGCAAAAAAAAAGGAACTAGAATAGGTTGGGAGAGATATTTTTTAAAACTATGATTTATGCTTTACAACGGATACACACACATAATGGAATAGACAAAAACTGTCGCATATTTTATACTTTATTTTCTAATGGGTTTTTTCCTAGTTTCTTCTTTCCTAGTCAAATAACTTCTATGGTTTTACTTGCTACTTTTCTTTTTTAAGTAGCTAGTTTACTTTAAACCTTTATGCATATCTACGAAATATCTAGAGTTAGTTATTTGTAAAAAAAAAAGGATTTTACGTGTAGGGTGGAATTTTTCTCTTTTCGTCTGGATATAAGTTTGGTTACATAATTCATTACTACATAATTGCAGCATACTAGACAAGATTATATATTTTGTTTCTTAAATTGATTATATCCATCCATAATTTTGATAAAATTGATAATTGAGCATAATAAACGGACTTTTGCTTGATTGTTTTAACTAAATTAAACATTTTTATGATAGTCGTAAATAGGTAGAATTTAACCGAGTCACATATGAATTGGTACTTATCTAATATGATAGATTTGGAAAACTGGTAAAATCTTTGCTTTCTCATAGTAAACTATAATTTGTTTCTAGCTATTCATGTAAAGTTATTATTTAATAGCCGATAAGTTACTTTGTATAAATCACGATGGAATTACTGTCAGAGTATTTTCAGCTGTTACATTCATAGTATTCACCAATGGGAAATGTGTAGTATATTTAATATACTTATAATCATATGTCATTTTTGTTATTCAGATTTTATGATTAGTAAGAACTGTGCTACATTTAATAGTATAAGAAATATATTTTTCCATTATTTTCCAATGCTGTCTATCCATTATCATTTATCTAAATAAAACACTAGATACAAGAATTCTCTAGAAATCTGAAAATGTCAAGATTTATAATTGTCCCAGCAGTTATGAGTTGTGAGGTATAATTTCTCTCTTTGTAGCATAAAGGTTTATTGAATAATGATAGTGCTGGTTATTCATTCAGTATAGTTTCAAGTTAATATCATGAATGATATAGAGGATAGTCGTAGTATCCAGGTGATAAAGTTGAAATAGATAAAGAATGGTTATATAAATTTTTAGAATTTGATCTGTTGTAAATCAGTGGTTAGTGCATAAATAAAGTGCATGAATATAGTCTTACCTTTACTGCTTACATCCAGTCATATCAGTCTTGTTCCATTGTAAGAAGTGACAAGTAACATTTTTTCCATAATTGTAGCAAGTAGTCATACCAGGAACAGTATTTTGATAAGCTGCAAGATAAGCCATAATATTTTTATATAAAAAATCAACTTGTATTCATTGATATCCTGAGTATCCTTTCACATTATAGTGATTATAAACATCTAAGTTAGTTTATATTCTAGAAGATTGTGCTTTTATTTATGTTGATGTACTATGTTGAGACTGTTACATCAATACCAACCTACCAGAAACCTTATATATATATAATTTATCCAGGTATATGTTCATAAATGAAGTACATTTATCTACCGGTTATTTAAACATTTTCTTGTTTACCAAGGTTAAGGTGTTATTTTACGAACGGATTTATATAACTTGAAATTTGTTTTCATTAATAGACCAGTAAGAAATGATATAGTAATTCATTGGCTATATTGTACACTGTGCATCGACTGATAGGTTACGTGATATCATGTGGGTCATGTTTTTAATCCGTTATCTGACCATCGTTTCGTACGTCTGTTGAGTCAGGAACTTGACTGAAGCAGTTGTCGAGTGGTCCTTGGTTTTAAGTCGTCTTTTAAATAATTTCATTTTTACATTATTATCAGAATGGGTTTGACCTATGCCGTTGGTGATAATGTTTACTGAATTTGATCAATCTTGGTTGGCAACAGTTTCAACGATGGGATAATTCAAATTCATTCTAATAACAATGTAAATAACATACTCGTTGCCCAAGTGAGCGGTTATCTGGATTTCGTAACTCAGTGAATAACGTGTTGGGGTTTGAAGCGAAAGATACTGGGTTGAAGTCCCAGTGTAAACATCAACACTGGGTTGGCGATGCATACATCCAATGAGTCCCAAGTAGGTCTTGAATTCCACTACTAGCCACATCCAATCTATTTTATAAAGTTTCTTTTTTTAATGAAAATAATCTCTAGAGGTATCTTAGTTAATTAAAAAATAGACTTTTATGAGAATTTGAACAAACATTGATCATTGACCGAACACTGTAAACAAACAAGCTTTGAAGTCTTATTGAGCTAGTTCAAGCACTGAAGATGTTAGTACATAGACATGACTAGTTTCAAAATTAGATAACATTTTCTCTTCAGTTTTGTTCTGAAAATCTCATCTAAGTGTTTTTATTAAAAGCATTTTACACTGTACAATTTCTGAAAGTTAGCATGTATTTCAGAGTCACAGTTGTTTGAGAAGAAAAAACGTGACTGAATTTATTAGAGTCGCGGTTTGAAATATTGTATTAGCGAGCTCACGTGAGTATTTTGACTTGAGAATTAAACCACTTCAATAATGTTTGATTTTTAGTACTAACATGTTAAAATGAAACAGCTGTTTGGTTTCAGACTGCTATTTCTTCCTCATAGTTTGACTAATTTTAAGCCTTAGATAAAAAAATTCACGTTTTGGGTTTCGTGATGACAAATCTCAGTTTTCATGCCTCACAGGTTTCAATACGGTTCGAAATCATTAAATAATCCTATCTTTACCTCAAAAGATTTGTTGAGTAATATATAAGCTCTTCAGCAAAGCGGATTCACAATTCTTTACGAGTTTGAAACTAGAACATTCACGTCT